GGCTAGTAACTGTTCCTTTGCGAAGTCTTTGGCGTTAAAAGTAAAAGTTATGAGTCTTTTGGATATTACGTTTAATCGTCTTTCATGAAGCTTCAAAGCAGAACACACATGCATTCCTTGAAACTCTCTAGTTTAATAACAAGAAAATGGCTAAAAAAAACCCTCAAAAATTGCAGAAATAAGAAGGTTTTAATGTATGACTGAATTGAATCTTTTATCAAAACGTCAGATTACTGAGTACCAACAAAAAACAAACCCGGGTACAGTTAAAACCTATGGTGGGGGTCCACTATATAATGCAGATAAATACAATAAAAATGGTAGGTTTTCAGCAATAGAAAGTAAGTAAAAGTAAGTAAATTTTATTTATAGTCGGACTACATACACATAACAGAGAACATGAGCTATAAAGCTCTTTTACCGACTAAAAACATAAAAAACATATTTATAATATAATGTACATATATACACATAAGAGCACAAATATCACATTAAAGTTTCACAAAGACAGAAGTTCATTTAAACACACAAGAGTAACCAAAGACATTGATAAACAGATATAAAAAGAAAAGAAAGAAATAAAAGACAAAACATTTGAGCAACACACAAAGAAAATAAAAGAGTCAACATAAGAGAACAACAAGTACTTAAAACAAAAGTCATGCACACAAACAAGGAGGAAAGGTTAAGAAAGCACAATACTGTAAAAAAAAATAATAATAAATAAATAAATAATAACTTAAGACGATCATCTATAAAACTAAAAATTAGTCTGAAGTCTGCAGGAGCTGCATTTACAATTTAGTTCTCCGCACCAAGTTGAAATGTAATTTGAAAATTGATTATATGAGGAGAATTGCCTGGCTTCATTGGGTAGAGAGTTCCAGAGCTTTGCTGCCTCATACCTAAATGATTTCATCCCATACCTTGTTGTTCTTGGTCTTGGGACCTCTGCAGTATTTGTATATCTAAAATTGTATGAATTATTTTTAAAAACAACCAGATCTTGCAAAAAGACAGGACTTAAACCTTGTAAAATTTTAAAGGTTTCTATAGCAATGGCACGCATTCTTCTGGTTTTCAAAGATGGTAGTTTAGATTTATGTAAAAGACTTTCATAAGAACTTTTATAATCTTCATAAATAAATCTTAATGCTCTTTCCTGAATTTTCTCTATTTTGCGAGTATTTTGCTCAGTACAAAAATGCCATGTTAAGGGGCAATAACTAAAATTTGATAAAAGAGTGATATATTGTTAGTTTTCCTAACTTAGTTAAGTGCTTTCCTAGCCGTTTAAGAACATTTAATTGCCTTGCAGCCTTTTTGCACATATTTGTAATATGTGTATCAAAAGACAACTTAAAGTCTATGGTTATACCTAGCAACTTAACTTCATCCTCACAAGGAATTTTGATTCCATCTAAATCAAATACAATTTTTTTACTTTGTGTTTTATTTCCAATAGAAATTGCCTGAAATTTTTCAGGGTTGGCCTGCATCTTATTTGAAGAGAACCATGTAATGAGAGATCTACTATCATGTTCTAAAGCTGCTACCACCTGTTCTAGAGATTTATCAGGCTTTGATAGGGTGTTATCATCTGCATAATTGTAGAGGTTACATTTATCTACAAAGAAAAACAGGTCATTTATAAATATGTTAAATAACAGGGGACCAAGAATAGATCCTTGTGGGACACCTTTAATGATGTTTAAGATGTCACTAACATGGTGCCCTAATTTAACACATTGTTTTCTATGTGAAAGGTAGCTATAAAGCATTTCTTGTGCTGATTCAGAATGTCCACAGGCTTTTAGCTTCAAAAGAAGTAGTTCATGGGGAAGGCAATCAAAGGCCTTGGAAAGATCCATTAAAATAGCTGCAGTGTATTCATTTTTATCCAGGGCATATTTCCAGTCTTCAATAACTCTCAACAGAGTAGACTGACATCCAAAACCTGACCGAAAAGCTGATAAAAAAGGATTAAGAATGTCATTTAAAAAGTTTGTCAACTGTGTTTCTATTGCTCTTTTGAAAAGTTTTGATATTGTTGGGAGGACGCTCACTGGTCTATAGTTACCCTTCTCTAAGGTACTATTTTTCTTCAATCATTCCCAGTGGTAAGATATGCAATATAGCATTTCTTCCGTAAGATGAAGATTTGCTAAATTACAATTAAAAGTGGCAAACCGAAATTCAAGAGGGACAAAATACAAGATTTGTATGTACCTCAAGCTGTTTGGTTTATTCAATACATGCCGAGTTTTGGAGTAAATTCAGGATGGATAAAGAAATCACTTCTTTCACAGATTACCCGCATACTTTAGTCTGGAGTAGTTAGGGATAAATTTCATGAAATAGCATAGCTTGATAGGTTATATGATTAAATGCACCGTGTTAAAGAGAGAATCAGCTGACAAATTAAATATTAATACAAGTATATTAAAACAATCAATAAATTTTGAATCGTTATGGGCCTTTTTATAATCAGAAGTGGGAAAACACGACTGATGATTGAAAAAATACAGAGAAAAGCTGGTAATGACAATAATAAACGGCAAAGTATCTTGTTACTTATATTGTATAAATCCGAAGTTGTTTTACAAGTTGATGCATACATGTACCCATGGTCCAAATTAAGGTGTTAAGCAAAGTTTGAAATAAGTAGGATTTAGTTCAGTAAGCAATATCTTTTTTGATTTATATCAAAGATTTTAAATGATTACTTTTCATTATAAGTAACTTTATATTTTTATTTTTTTTTTTCATGTTTGTAAGTGAGATCCACTCTGAGTCTCATTCATTAACATTAATTCGTGAAGTACAAAACCAAGTCAACTGTATGACAGAAGCTCTAGGTAATGTTTATATTTGACATGTAAATAAACATATACACACATATAAGAAATTTTTTTATAAATTTTATACGTAAAAATGCGATTCTTTTCATTTCCAAAAGAGCGAAAATTAATATGGCTTAAATTGGAACTCTGGTCTTGAAAGACATTTATTAAAATAAATATTTTATATAAATCAACACTTTGTATATGATATCCCCAATTTGTTTCTCTATCATAACGACATGTCATTGATCTCCAAAAAGGCTCTTTTATGGTTTGAACTGTACAGTAAAATTTTAAATGATGGAGTACCCTAGTATATATGAAGATGTATAATTCAGTTTCACTAGATTAAGCCATTCATAAAATGACACCACTAATCAGTTTTATGTTTTATAATAAAGTTATATTGATAGCAATAATCAACGTACATACAGCCAGGTGGGAACAAGACAACAAATGCAAAATATATAATTTACCTTTCTCACTCCAGTTTTCCGGAACCTATCGTCCACAGGGGAAAAAGTCGTCAGATTAACTCCCAGAATAAATGCACTAGTGCAATAATGCCAAGGAATATATATAGTTAAAAGAACTCCTAAATTCTGAATATGACAAAAAGTCACCTGATAATTCCAATCACGAGTTATCTAATTTGGAAATAGACAGATTTAAATTCCTCTAGATCGGTACAGATTCGATTGTCTTTGGGGTTTTAAAGCCTTAAGGAAATCAGTAAACCATTTTAGGAGGTTTTTTTTAAATCTAAATATAGCTTAAATGGAATTGGGACAATAATTAGCATTTCCCAATTCATTGATTTTACAATGTTTTTGAAGTGGAAAAAATCATATCCAAAGAGTATCTTTCTGGAATATTATCAGTACTCAGTAAATTCATGTTTTTATAACATACACTCCAATAAGAGAGATTAAGTACTTTATAATTCGACAGGAAACCAAATGTTCCTAAAAGTAAAATGCTGTAATTTTTTATGTATGCTTATTCATGTATTATATGGATGATAGCGCGAGTTTTTTGGATTGTTTGTAAAAATTACTTGTAGACTGTTAAGAAAGCTCATAACACTGCACATTTTAAGACTTCTAATAGTAGGGTAGTAGTATAATATTTAAAAAATTTTAAATGAAGTTGGGAAATACGACTGCTGCAGCAATATCCTTCTTCAGGCGCCATCTGACAAAGGAATTCCATTTGCGCTGCTTACTTTTCTCAACATAAGTAGGTGTATAGCAAAACACGAATATTTAATCTGTATGAGTAATGGACGGATTGATTTATTATATACTGTTTAACGTCCCTCTCCAGAATATTTCACTGATATGGAGACGTCACCATTGCCGGTGTCCGGTGAAGGGCTGCAAATTTAGGCCTATGCTCGGCACTTACGGCCCTTGAGCAGAGAGGGATCTTTATCGTGTCACACCTGCTGTGACACGGGGCCTCAGTTTATACGGTCTCACCCAAAGGACATGATCGCATTTAGTCGCCTTTTACGACAAGCGAGAGGGAACTGAGGATCTATTCTAACCCGGATCCCCACGGGGCAGTAAAGGACGGATAATTCAAATATAAATATCTTCATTTTCGAAGATATCCCTTCTTTTGAATTTTCAATCTTTGGGGAAAAAAATGTTATGTTGTAGGTATGCGATAATTATTTTTAGAAGGTTTGTTTTTTATCATAAGGTGGGTACCTACACTTGACTCATTGCAGTTGGATGCCTTGTTGTCATTGTGGTAGTCATTGGGTGCATTTGTAAAATGTGCTGTTGTCATCGCAGAGCAAACAGTAGAGTTATTTGTGGCGCAGCCCCAGGTAAAAACAAAACGTTATGTATATAACACTAATGACATTCTAAAAGATAATTTAATACTATTTTAATATAAACATAGTTTTATATGTATTTCATGAAACGGGAATAAATTATTTTTCTCATCTTCAGAGGATATAATTGTAATCACTTCTTTGCTCTGTAGGACTGACAGTGGTGAACTTGAACAGTGGAATGGCTGCACCCTACAACCAGTTTATCCCATGCAACATCAACCTAACGGACTGATGCAGTCAACACCAAGCTATCCTACATAATAGCATATAATTCTATTTATCTCAGAAAAGTGTAACTCAAACAAATGGTAACTTGAAATTAATTTTATTAAAGTGTGGCGATATTATGGGCACGGCTGTTATTTAGTTTCAAATGCAAAACAAACAATATCATATGGGCAATGGGCAGCCAAGACAAGAGCATGCCCCAATCAAATGCACAAACAACATTCAACATCAAAGCAAATCATATATCAAGGTCATTACCAAAGGTCAAAGTTCATATAGTGGTAAGTCAAAGTTCATACAACATCAAAAGTTCAAAGTTCACAACATCAAAGTTCAAAGTTCACCATATATATATATAGAAAGCATTGACCCTGGGAGGTGCAGAGGTCAAAGCTTACAATATAATTACCAAAATGCCGCTTATACGCCAGAGGTGATATTTACGATATATTTATTACGAATTACATGCCGCTTATGTGCCTTCTTTACTTGTCGTTTATATATCAGTCACTGTTTAGGAAACATTGGCCCTGGGAGGAGCAGTGGCCAAGGTTTGCGAAAAGTTCATCTAAGTTGGTCTCCAGGTAGACTTTTTCTTGTAACAGCCGTACCATTTGATATCAAGTGATCCTTTTGTAGGACAGCTGCAATAGAAAGAAAAACACAGCGCAAAAATCTATTCGAATAAGGGTTGGGTGAGGAGGGTATTTTTCTAAATATCTAAATTTGCAAAAAATTATCCCTTAAAATTGCACCAACCTCATTCATATAGTCTGTGAATGAAAAAGGATTAACGGAAGTTGACTCAGGGGGAATAACTCTAATTGATTATAGGGATTATAGGCGGATCTATGGATTTTGTAATATGGGAAATTAACACTTTCTTCGATAAAAGCCTCCAATTCGAATAGAATTGGATGTGATATTATCTCAGAAAAGTGTAACTCAAACAAATGGTAACTTGAAATTAATTTTATTAAAGTGTGGCGATATTATGGGCACGGCTGTTATTTAGTTTCAAATGCAAAACAAACAATATCATATGGGCAATGGGCAGCCAAGACAAGAGCATGCCCCAATCAAATGCACAAACAACATTCAACATCAAAGCAAATCATATATCAAGGTCATTACCAAAGGTCAAAGTTCATATAGTGGTAAGTCAAAGTTCATACAACATCAAAAGTTCAAAGTTCACAACATCAAAGTTCAAAGTTCACCATATATATATATAGAAAGCATTGACCCTGGGAGGTGCAGAGGTCAAAGCTTACAATATAATTACCAAAATGCCGCTTATACGCCACAAGTTCCCTGAGATGAGGATCAGAATGAAACTCATCCAGGGAACTCCGCCACCATGGTGGGGGTAGAGCGGCATATACGAACAGCCGTACCCAGGACCCTTGCTAATTGGGAAAGCAGGATTGACCATGCGCAACGATAGCCTCAAGTCCCCCCTGGAGAGAGTTTAGAAAAATGTTATTCCCCAACGAGGATAAGTGTACCCCATCCTGTAAAAATAAAGCTGGATCAGGTTTAATGTCTGAATGGCGAATTATTGCGCCCCCAGATTGCAAGACAATTGCAGCTATACCAGAATTAAACCGTTTGCGTGCATTTTCCATAGCTTTTAAATTTGCTGAATAGCGCCATTGGAGACGCGGAAGTATAAATGACCATATAATCCTACTGTTTCGAAAGTGATTCCTTAGAAATAAAACCAACTGCTTTGCAACCACCCTTATTTTTCTGATCGATACATTGCCCAAGTCATTCCCCCCACAATGTATAAGGATGAAATTAGGTACAGGGCCCACCTTTCCAAGAGTTCTAATCTTTTGTTTAGTTTTACTTAACTGGAGGCCACTATAACCCTGCCACCACAGTGAGATGTGTTTTCTTTCTAATGTCAAATTTGTACCACCTGGTCTTAATACAGCTTCCAAAAAGGCGTGCTTGATTATTGATGAACCCACCAACCATATTGTCTGTATATCTAAAATTAAATTAAAACTTTGGTATGCGAATGTAGGATTTGTAAGAATCAGATTTCCAACGACCAGATCTCTGAATGTCATGAGTTGAAAATCCTTTTAACGCGAGATCAGTACTCGCGCCGATACGAAAAGAGTGAGATTTGTATCCTGAGATACCAGGCAAATTTAGGTGCTTTACTGCCTTACAAAGTACCCCCGTAAATTGATATCGTGTGAGTGGGGATAAATCGAAGTGTCGAAATAATGGACCTGAACCCTCTGGACGGATGCTGACGTATTTAGTAATGAGCTGATATGGACATGCTACACCACCCTGCTTATCTATTTGAAGTACTGTGCCTTTACCTAACTGGTCCGTTTTCGAATACCGGATAGTCAGTAAGAGAGATTGCGTTTCGTGATTAATGGACAAATTGTCGAATTGAATTGTGTTTTGTTGATCACCTTCTCTTGTATTAACTGTTAATTCGCCAACTCTTAAAAATCCATGAAATGCCAGGGAAAATGCAGCCGAGAAAAGAGCTGTTTCAAAAGCATTGGTACATATTATGGGCAGAACTTGAATAATATTTAGCAAAATTGTTTTCGTTATTGGCAGTCTAGTATCTACTTTATGTCTCAAACGTTTCATGCCCTGCAATAACTTTGTAACCAAGAACTCTGGGGTTGGATCGTGAACACTCTGCAATTTACAATAAAATGAAATGGCAGACAAGTATGACCTCACGGTACAATATGCGAGGCCGGATGATGATGAATGCAAAACGAATTGCACGACTGAGTTTAATGTAGGGGGCCATGGCGTGCAATCAATGAGTCTACATACTTTGTAATAAGCTGCCATTCCAGCCCGATGAGATTTATGTGTGTTTTCAGATACTGAGGCGTCTAAAAGTTTAGCAAACTCAGGCTGGAGATGATGTTGCGGAAAGATAGGGGCACTGGGCAAGGGTGTTCCCTGGCATGTGGAGCTGCTTGTCGGAATCTGGCCCACTGCTTACGAGAAATTGAATCAGCAACTACATTGTCTTTACTTGGTATGTAAACTGCACGAAACAGAATATTATAATTCATAGAAGCAAGGACAAATATCTAAATTTGCAAAAAATTATCCCTTAAAATTGCACCAACCTCATTCATATAGTCTGTGAATGAAAAAGGATTAACGGAAGTTGACTCAGGGGGAATAACTCTAATTGATTATAAGGATTATAGGCGGATCTATGGATTTTGTAATATGGGAAATTAACACTTTCTTCGATAAAAGCCTCCAATTCGAATAGAATTGGATGTGATAAAATTGCTATCTGAATATGTAATAGGATTAATATTGTTGTGAAGCTTGATGAAATTTATTATTTCAATCGTTAATAGTAATGACATTTGCACAAATCTCTCTTTATTTTAAGTATTTTGCGAAAGACATTTTTTCTTTAAAGTTGAAGAATCTATAAATAGTGACACAAGTTTATTTATTACTGCATAAATACTTGATCATGTGATCAAGTTTGAGTCAATCAGAAACCCTAGATAATACAGAGAAATAATATGAAGAGAAAGTTTTCCTATAGTTAATTCTATCATGGTAACATTTATGACCTTGTTGGAAAATATATGCTATCATTGGGTGGTATTTTGGCTTTTAATTCAAGTACCAATTGATAGTCCTTTGTTTTATATTGAATTTACCTTCGGAATGTTCTGTCTACCTGATCCAAAGATAGGGTCCACGGCGGATGTGACCGATTGATAGAGGATGCTTACCTCTGCTTTGCCCCTAATCCCTTTTCTGGAACTTTCAGGGGTGCCTGTGTATGCCAAATTCACAAATTTGTATCGTTCCTAGATTTTTCAAATCGATCACTGTTCGTTGTCCTTTCTTCCTTTTGATTTGTTTAAGTAAATCGGTTGGTATCATTGAACATCAGTAAGTCAATCATCACTGTTCGTGGTCTTTTCTTCCTTTTGATTGGTTAATGTAAATCGGTTGGTATCATTGAACATCAGTAAGTCAATCATCACTGTTCGTTGTCTTTTCTTCCTTTTGTAAGTCGGTTGGTATCATTGAACATCAGTAAGTCAATCATCACTGTTCGTTGTCTTTTCTTCCTTTTGATTGGTTTATGTAAATCGGTTGGTATCATTGAACATCAGTAAGTCAATCATCACTGTTCGTTGTCTTTTCTTCCTTTTGATTGGTTTATGTAAATCGGTTGATATCATTGAACATCAGTAAGTCAATCATCACTGTTCGTTGTCTTTTCTTCCTTTTGATTGGTTTATGTAAATCGGTTGGTATCATTGAACATCAGTAAGTCAATCATCACTGTTCGTTGTCTTTTCTTCCTTTTGATTGGTTTATGTAAATCGGTTGATATCATTGAACATCAGTAAGTCAATCATCACTGTTCGTTGTCTTTTCTTCCTTTTGATTGGTTTATGTAAATCGGTTGGTATCATTGAACATCAGTAAGTCAATCATCACTGTTCGTTGTCTTTTCTTCCTTTTGATTGGTTTATGTAAATCGGTTGATATCATTGAACATCAGTAAGTCAATCATCACTGTTCGTTGTCTTTTCTTCCTTTTGATTGGTTTATGTAAATCGGTTGGTATCATTGAACATCAGTAAGTCAATCATCACTGTTCGTTGTCTTTTCTTCCTTTTGATTGGTTTATGTAAATCGGTTGGTATCATTGAACATCAGTAAGTCAATCATCACTGTTCGTTGTCTTTTCTTCCTTTTGATTGGTTTATGTAAATCGGTTGGTATCATTGAACATCAGTAAGTCAATCATCACTGTTCGTTGTCTTTTCTTCCTTTTGATTTGTTTAAGTAAATCGGTTAGTATCATTGAACATCAGTAAGTCAATCATCACTGTTCGTTGTCTTTTCTTCCTTTTGATTGGTTTATGTAAATCGGTCGGTATCATTGAACATCAGTAAGTCAATTACATAAAAAAATTTAATTAATTACTTTCAAATATAGTAATAATTTTGTTGGCAACATGTAATTACAAAAACATTGATTTTTGATTTTCAAAAACATGATTATTTTGCTTGTTTTGTTTTAAAAGAAAATGAAGAAAAAAATACATGAATATTTTGAAGAAGTAGTATTCAATTTGATCATTCCTATTACTCTGTTGCCTTGGGCAGTGCGTTTTATCTGCTTAAAAAAATTGCATTTTATTATTGATTTATTTAATAAGCACAAATTCATGTAAAATAGTACTTGTATGTATTATTATTAACACTTTTTGTATCAATTTTACTGGAAAAAGTAAGTAATTGAACCTTTTGAACTCAATGATAAATTATATTTGCTGATAATACGATTTATCATTGAGTCAAATGCTGACTGACTTTTTCATAATATTATTAAGCCATTTTTACACAATGGGCTGTCGACGAAATTTTCTTTTTTTTTTCCTTTTCGAACAAGCTTGACAAGGAGCACACAACAGGTGTGACTGGCAAACTATTGTCAGCAAATGGTCAATAAAAAGGACCTTGTCAGTATCAATTCATTAAGTCTAATGTTGACAGTTTTTTTTTAATTTTTATTTACACTGAATAGTCTACAAGTTTCCCTTAGTCCGATCATGACAGGGAACACACCTTATTGTTGACCAGTCTACAAGTGTCGCTCTGTCCTAACATTAGAGGTCCGTGTTTTCGCTATTCTTTTGTTGTTATGTTGAATGGGCTTTTGAGCTTGAATACTATTCGTTATCTTCATAAATTTCATGGCACCTAATCCCACCTTTGATGTATTAATGGTCCGTGTTTACATTACTCTTTATTTATATTGTTTCCACGGACTTTTGAAATTGATAACTGTTTCTTTTTTATGTTAATACATACCACAAAGTCTGACACATGATTCATAATTGGATATTATGCTTGAAAAAGACGCTAATGGTAATTTAGGAACCAAACTAAACTCTGTAATAAACATGATAACCTGAACTTTTCTATTGTCAACTTCCCTTAATGCAGCAATATACCTTCATCACCTGCATACGGTGTATATACACATAACAAAACTTCTAAGTGTTCACTTTAATAAATGCATTTATTTAAAAACTACTCAATAGAATGGTATGATATTTTCAAATTATTACAACAAATGAGTCTTCTCAAAAATTGTAGAAAGAAAATAAAATATCACCGATAAAACCAATGTTCCGTGACGAAGCATAAACACAATAAATCTGTACTTTGCGGCATGTGTTTTGTGTAATAACCATCTTTTTGTGATCATTTTAAAAACTGGTTTCACTAAAAAACACTAAACATTGGCAAAATGACCATTGAGATAGAAGGGAGAGCCATAGGAATGTTGATATCTGGACCATCCTTGCACCACGTTTTACTCACTTCTATTTTAGTATTTAATTGTCCTTGATATTACTTTTAAAAATAAATAACCAGTTTCAAACCCACTTTAAACACATTTTTCAATAGACTGTGCGTCATTTTTAATCGCCAATTTATCACAATTTGAAAGTTTTAGACAAAATTTAACCAATCCGGATGTGACCTCGATCTTGGTCTGAGGCTAAAATTTCGCGTCACACCAGGTTAAAAGAGTGTTAAATTGTCCTGAAATAATCTCAGAAACACGAAAACCAACAATTTCAATTGTAAGCAAATGAGAAGACATCAGTGCTCCTGACAGTCTAATATCAGCTCAAGTAGTCTGAATCATCCTAGAGCGGTGCACGTACGTGCTAAACTCCCTAAAATATTGACCAAAAGGCATCTGTGTGATGATACACTGTCAAATTCCCGGATCTGAATCCAATTGAACACATTTGGGATTTTATAAGGAATGAACCTCCCCCCTTCCACACAATGGAAAGATCTATGCAGTAGGTGTGGCAGCAGATGGGTCAGTCTCCTATTTAGGGGTACATGGTATCCAACAGTAAAGATTGTCTTGTAGTAATTAGAGTGAGTGGTGGTCTTACTCCATGGAAACTTTTTGTGTGAATTTTCAATTTAAGGGTACATCATTTCCTTGACACTTTGCTTAAAATTCTGACGAGATACTTACATGAAATTTACGCAACATCGAACTTAGATATGCACCATTAACCATGAATTAAAGAAATTATTTATTGTATGCATTTGTTCCTTAAAACTTAAAAATGTTCGGTGAACACTTAGAAGTTTGGTTCAGTGTATATCTCAGTTGATTCGATACGCAAGAGCATGCTCTACGTATGAACAATTTCTAAAACGAGGTAAATTATTGACAAGCAATTTGCTGAAAATTAAATTTAAGCAGTCTCGTTTATAGTCATCTTTTCGTTAGTACTATGGTCGATACTATAACATTATCAGCAAATACAATTTATCATTGAGTCAAATGCTGACTGACATTTTTCATACTTTTTGTTTGTCCATTATTTATACACTGGATTGACTACAAATTTTTCCATTATTTACCGATCATGAAAAGGAGCACATGGCTCTTGTTTTGAATATAGTTCGTTATCTCCAAATGTTTCATTCTTTCTTATTCGTGGAAAGTCTTGTGTTGGAGTACGACAAATGGCAATTCGAAAGAAATTTCTAATTTATGTTCTCATAGCAACATTCTTCTTAGAAATCAACAGACAATTCAAAGCCAGAATCATTAAGACCATCATTTTTTAATTTTTGTTAATTATTGTGCTTATCCTAATGGTAGAAGGTAAAATATACGTTTGAGTTATTTTTCTGATTGATGAAAGATCATGAAATTTCAATCAATTAGTTTAGCACTTCCTAGTACGTTAAAATCTCTTGTAAACCTGTCAAATGTGCACATTTTATAAAATACAGTATACATGCATAAATAATTAATATCATAAGAATGGACTTTATGGAGATAATGAACAGTATTCAAGCTTAGTTTATTTCACCCAGACAAACTATTAGTACATGGGGCTCAAAAGTCCAACACGGACCTCTTAAACATCATAGGTGCCATTGAGGTGCGAGTGGCCATGGTGAACCGTCACTTCCGTCTTGTGATTCTTGCCATGATAAAAAAAAAACACATCGGCAAATCTGTGAAATTCAGTATCA